AGAGATGGAAAAACTGGTATTTTTTTGTTTTAATTAACAGCTTCCAGTAACCTTACAGTAGCTACACCTAATGTACATAAGAAACATGACAGCAGTACTCAAAACATGACTATTTGTTCAATGCACACAGGCCTAGTTTTTGTGAAATAAGATAGATACCTTCAATTAGTTATCAGCACAGGGATCACTGCATCTGTTTAGCAGTTCCAAATTAATCCAGTATTGAGAAATTAGTAAGAACAGGTGTCTCACTACAGCAACAAGGCAATAGATTGGTTTTTCAAATTCCCATCTTATGCCAAACCACCTTCAACAAAAGAATGGCCCATGTCTTGAGGTTATTTACATCAACACAACTCCACTGCCTCCACTGGAGCTATGCTGCTTTACATTGTCCAGGTTCTGCATACACATACGACACTATTGTATGCTTTTATCATTAGTGAGTTTGTAAATTAACAACTAATACATTAATACTTTATTACATATTAGTACATGAATATCTTTTTAAATTGCCAGTTCAAGTAACTTTAGGAACATGGTGAAAAATTGAAAGGCCTTTTTTTAAAAAAACAACAAGCATTTGTATTCACATCTTTTCAATCTATTGTCTCACATACATGCAGAATTAGGTTAGTGCTGACAGCAGCCCATCTTCTCACAAGGCATTTCATAATCAATCTGTTTTACTGCATCTTTCTGAGAAACCTCCTAAAAGTTTGGTATTGAATCATTATCTCTCTTGGCAGACATACAGGACATGCTGAAACTAAGCTTGCAGGACACAATACAGATCTTCCAAACGTGAGAAGCAAAAAAAAAAAAAGTTAAATACCACATTTCCTAGTGGCATAACTAGTCTTTACAACTTCACAGGTAGACCATGTCTGTGTGTTATTGTTCTTCAGAGAGTTTTGCAGAATCTATATGTACATTTCCGTGTCATTTGTGTACACACTTTTCAGTCCCTGACAAAATACCAAATGCCACATTACATCCCTTCAGTGGTTGATGGTTATAATTTGTTTACGGAGTATGTGAGCAACCTTTAAAGACTAGTCCATGCTGGACATACTTCCTCAAGTAAATGCTCAGGTAGTTGAAATAATTATTATCAGCTTTCACCTCTTTTCAAGAAAAATGTGGTTAAGAAATCATAATCCTGATTATGATTATTTTTTTTTTCTGAAATGAGTGTTACAGCATACTCTAATCCCTTCTCAGGTATTTATCTAAATGTAGTACAAACAATGAATTTCTACATGCCTTATTCCTCTTTTGGGGCCATTTTTAATAAAACTTTTATCACACATTTATCAGATTTATTTCAAAACTCTATAAATGAATAATTGTGCATATTCACATCATCAATTTAAAGCGTTGCAGCAAGTTGGTTCCACTATTCCTCCCCAAATAAACTTGATTTAGATCATTCTAAAAGTAGTGTACAAACATTTGGAAATGAACATATATGTGATACACATACTCATTCATTAGACACATTTATTAACAAAGTCTTGTGGTTCAACCCAGTAGGCAGCTAAACACCACACAGCTGTTCACTCACTCTCTCCCAGTGGGAGGGGGGAGAGAATCAGAAGAGTAAAAGTGAGAAAACTCCTGGGTAGAGATAAAGACAGTTTAAGAAGTAAAGCAAAAGCCACAGCCATAAGGAAAGCAAAACAGGGAATTTGTTCACTGTTTCCCACTGGCAGGCAACTGTTCACCATCTCTAGGAAAACAGGGCTCCATTACATGTAATGGTTATTCGGGAAGACATGCTGTAACTCTGAACATCCTCCTCTTCCTCCTCCTTCCCCCAGCTTTATGTGCTGTGCATGACATCCTATAGTATGAACTGCTCATTGCAACAAACTCCTCCCCTTGCTGCTAGCCTGGCTAGCAACAAGGGGTTCCTGATATAGTAACTCCTATAACATGCAGCTCAAATCCCAGGTTACAACAATTGAAAGGTATTTCCATTGCAATCTCCATCCCTTGCCCCTTTGGACCACACCGTAGAGAACGGTCTCTTCAGGGGTATACCTGCTGCAGCATGGACTTATCCATAGCCAAAGATGCTTTGAGGTGTACCTTTTCCAACGTGGACACAATCCCTGCAGAGTTACACCTGCTGAGGCACAGACATAACCACGGCCGCAGACACTTCGAGGTGTACCTGCTCTGGCGTGGACGCAGTCGTGGTCACAGACGTTTTGGGGTGTCCTGCTCCTGCGTGGACTCATCCACCGGTGACGGTCCCTTCAACTTGGGTTCCCACTGGAGTTCCAGCTCGTCCAGTAGAGCAGCAGAGATACAGCAGCGCTGCTCTGGCCATCTGCCAGCCCAGGTGCATCACCACTGCTGTTAGCAAAACGTTCCCAGGCACAGCAGAATACGACGACAAGCCATACAGCAGTACAACAAGCAGCAAAAGCAAAAAGCAGCCACTAACGAGCACACCACTCTAATTTATAGTAAGGCAAGCAAGCCCCATGGCAAGCACAGGAACCTGCCAATTAATAGCTAAACAGCAATAATCACTATAAATTAACTCTTATCTCAGCCATAACCAGCTGGAAATTGCTCAAAGCCTCAGCAAACTTTTTGTAGACCCCTTTCTTCCACCCGAGAACACACAATGTTGCAGGGATTCCAAAATGAATTCAGCTCTCACAAAGGCTGTAAAGAAGCAGACTCTTTTTCTTTGCAGTGCCCAGATGAAAGGTTGAAATAGGAACGTGGGTGAGAGGATGTTAACTAGGCAAGTGTCCTGATTTCAGGCAAGTAGGCAGTGAACAAATGTTTTCTAAACAGAAGAGAGAATCTCTCCTCGTCGTGAGCTGCTGGAGGAGGGTTCCACATCAAGTAAATGATTGTTTAATTTGTCTGGGTTTTGTGCTTTTTTCCTTACTTAAAAGAAGAGTCCTATCGAATTAAAGTTTTCATGGCACAGGTGTTTTTGGTGGTGACGAAGGAAAGGGAGACTGACATACTCAAACTATTCTGAAGAGAAGTATTAAAGAGTACCTGCTGAGGAGGGTGTCCATTTCCCACTGCAGCATTACTCAGCAGGCAATGATCGTTCATAACGCATCAATGGGTGAAGTCAGTCCGTTCTTCAGTGGTCCCAAAAGGCGCCAACAAACTATCAGCAAGTGAGATAAACATAAACTGTATTTTCTATGTCAATCTAAATCTATTTCAAGTCATTGTTAATGGCAATGGATTATATTGTACTGTACAGAATTACATTAAATAATAGGAAAAAATGTATTAGATTTTCTTTAGATTTTATAAGAGATCTGTTGAAAATACAGACTGTAACCTCACAGTTCTTCCTTTCAGTATGGGAAAATTTATACGCCTCTACAGTTTGTGACTGTTCCCCTCCTTTTTCCCCTGCATTGAAAACATTTTCTGGGATCTGAAAACTACAGAATTTGTCCTAATGTCATTATATCTAAAATAAATATTTTTATTTGGTTAATCTTTATTTTATTAAAAGACAAAGAAAGTGGCTTTATACTGTTCAAATAAATTTACATTCACTACTCAAGCATACATTGAAAGTGTAGTATCGTCGAGTTCTCAAAGTCCTTAGAGTGAATGAGATGTTTGCCTCACTGAAATCATGGCATGGGCACATTCATCAATGCTAGTGTGAAATTCACTGTGAGATGGTCCCGCTTTGTGTTTAGCTCTCTACCATGCAGATGACCACATGCTGTGGGCCAGTTTGATTTGTCCAGATGTGCTGCCTTTGCTCAGGTGTAGCAGCCTTATCTGCAGTGAATGACTTCAGTAATTTTTCCATGATCCCACCCTACATTGTGTCTATACATGCATTCCATTTTTACCTATGTTAATGTGTATCCTTTGTTCTAAAAAATGTCTAATGTTTGATAACAAGGCCATTAATGTGAATAAACATGTAAATAAGGCAGAGACATGCCTGTGTGTAGAATCATGGAATCACGAATTGTTGGAGTTGGAAGGGACCATCTAGAGACCATCTAGTCCCACTCCCCTGCCAAAGCAGGGTTGCCCAGAGCACATCACTCAGGATGGCATCCAGGCGGGGCTTGAAGATCTCCAGAGAAGGGGACTCCACACCCTCCCTGGGCAGCCTGTTCCAGGGCTCTGGCATCCTCACCACAAAGAAGTTTTTCCTCAGATTGGAGTGGAACTTCCCCTGTTCCAGCTTGTGCCCATTGCCCCTTGTCCTGTCACTGGGAACCACTGAAAAGAGTCTGGCTCCATCCTCCTTCAACCCACCCTTTAGATACTTATAAGCATTGAGAAGGTCTCCCCTCAGCCTTCTCTTCTCCAGGCTAAGGAGTCCCAGCTCTCTCCGCCTTTCCTCATGAGGGAGATGCTCCAATCCCTTAATCACCTTTGTTGCCTAGAACCAAAGCTTTAGGAGATACTACCAATATAGTTATGACGGTTGCCACAATGGCTGCCCCTTACCAGTGCCTGAGTGAAGGCCATGTTTGAGTTGACACAAGTCCATCTTGAGTGCCTGCCTGTAACGTGACGTGCTGCACGGGGGGTCCCAAACGTGCTTTAATACTCTCACAACAAGGGTCAGAAGTGATTTAGATGCTGCCAGTTCGGAGGGCGCAGTTTAATTTCCCCGGTAACTCCGCTGAAGGCCGCGGCACCGGTAGGCCCCGGCGCCCTCCCCTCACCGGCCCGGCTCTCCTTCACCTCAGCCCAAGGGCCGGCCGCGCGGCACAGACGCCTCAACCCTCACTGTCAGACGGCCGCCACCGAGAACGGACCCGAGAACGAGACCCGAGAACGGACGGGAGCCGGCGAAACGCCGCTGGGGACCCTCGGCCGTGATGCTCCCTCACCGCCTTCCCGCCGCCCCCTCAGGGAGACGCCGGCCCCGCCCCCGGCGCTCGCGCCCCGCCCCTGTCACGTGCGAGAGGCGGGACGGGGCGGGCGCAGCGTTGCCCGGCCGGCCGGCCGCCGCCGCAGATCCCGCCGCCGGAGCCGCTGGTGCCGGCCCCTCCGTCCGCCTCCTGGCCCGCAATATGCCTCCGCTGCCCTCGGGCTGCTCGCCATGCCGGGGACCTGCGGGGGCCTCTCCTCCTTGCTCCTGGGGCTGGCGGCCGCGATGCTGCTGCTGATGGGGCGGCCGCCTCCCGTTGACGCCGCTGCAGCCGCCGCCGCCGCTACCCGCCCGCAGCAGCAGCGAGCGGCGCTGCCGGGGGGCGCCCCCGTTGCCGCGGCTGCCTCAGGTACAGACCACCTTCCCTTCCACCTTCCTTCCTCCCATCTTCCTTCTCCTCCCGCCGCCGGGCAGATCCCTTCCATTTCCCGCCTTCCCTGTGGAGGTTCTCCTCTCCGCGGCCGCGCCGTCGGGGTCCCCTCAGCCCCGCCGTGTCCCTCTCCATCTGAGGGGGGGGGGCTCGGCGTTCTCCTCAGCCGCTCCCCGCCGGGCTGCGGAGGGGGCGCTTCGATTGAAGCCGGTGCCCCGGTGTCGGTGCCGGTGCCCCGGGCAGCGGGGGTGTTGTGCGAGGGACGGGGGCGGTGTTCCCCGAGCACCAAGATAAGCCGCCCCCTGTTTTAATGGCAGGAGGTAGCGGGGCCGCGGCTGGTGCTGCGGGGCGAGCAGGGATCCATCTTTAGCATCTCTCCCGTCCGTGTGGGGCTGCCGGAGCGTGGTACCGGCCTGGGGAAGAAAAAAACCGAGCCAGCACCGGTGTAGCCTGGGTCTGACCGGGCTGGAGATGCTCCCGGCAGCGCCAGGCAGATGGTCTGCAGAGAAGCGTAGCTCCATCAATTCCTGTCTACTGGCGGGGGTCACCAGAGCAATTTATATATATATATATATATAAGAATAACTATATACATCACGCATATATCTTTTTTCTATTCGTATATATGCATTATAAAAACAATTAAAGCCCAGCTGATGCGTGTGCAAGTGGCTTAATCTCATCCAAGGAGTGATGGGGGCTGCTGGGCTCATTAGTTTTTTTGCATCTCCCCTGCAGAACGAGGAGACGCATCGCTTATCCAACAGCTGAGAGGGTGAAAATAATGGGCTTGTTTCAGTGTTCAGGCCTTGGTATCACGGTCAAGCGTGTGAGGTTACCCCTTTGCACAACTGGGGCGAGTGAGAAGGTGTTTATTCTATTACCTAATTTAAGAGATGTGTGTATTCTGAAGTCTTAGCGCCTTAAATTAGGATAAAACCAGTGTTTTTCTTGACATACTGCCTTTCACCAAATAATTTCAAAACGGTTTCAAACAAGAATTATTTAAGACCTTTTAGTACCAAGGCTCCATTTGGGCATAGCACTAAAGCATATGTTTCATTTTTAAGACACATGCATGTTCAGACACATTTCCAGTTGACTTCGAGAAGGTATAAAATGTTCTTAGTTTCAGACATATGGTTAATATTTTGCTGAATTGAAGCCAATTTATAAAGCTACCAAAGTATGTATGTTAATTAGGAAATATAAGCAAAGATCTTGAATTATGGTCTTTGCTTGTGGCTTTTTAAAGATTTAGAACAAGGAACTAGATTTGGTAGAATATGAACACACTCTTAAATTCTCCTGATAGGCTTTTAAAGTGCCTTGATTTGCTTTTTGGTTGGGGTGGTGTTTTGGTTATTTTGGTTTTTTTTCGGGGGAGTGGGGTGTTAGGTTTTTCATTCTCTTTTCCAAACCCTTAAACCATAGGGTTTTAAAGAAGGATATTTGATGAATGGCTTGGTTCTTGTTTTTCCTTTTAAACTGGTGATTTTTCATTACTATATTTCTTAGCATGCTTTTGGAGGAATATGCCATTAATCACCAGCAAACCCCAGTTGAAAGGCATTGGCAGCATTTCTAACTTGTGCAGTGAGAATTTTGCTTATTAAAAAGTGAGTGGGGGAAAAAAAAGGACTCTTTTTTTTTTGTAATTTGCTGATCCTTTTTGGTTTCAGGTATTGATTTCTTTTCAGGAAGCTCTATTACCTTATTGCCATCAGTCCTGGCCAAAACTCTTTGTTGGTGCCAAACAATGTGATGCTGATGCTTCTGGTTTGCTGTCGTTGCTGTTGCAGACCCACGTGCCTAGTTGCTGTTGTTTTGTTTTATTTGTTTATTATGCTTCATAGGTTTTGAGGTATGAGAGTCCTGAAAGTGTCTTAAAGTAGGCAGCTTTCATGATCAATTCCAGTTCATGACTCTTAAATATTATTATTTGTGCTGATCCTCAGCATTTCTTTGTAATTTCTCAATACAGTTAGAGCTTTATTTCACTTGTTGGCTGGTTTTCTGAATCATTTGATTAATTTTTTTCTTTCATAAAAATGTTTTAAAAAGCCAATAGTGATTGATCTTTCATAAAGACAAGGTAATTGCTGCTATGAAACTTTGATTATTTTGAAGAAGCTGGTAAGCACCTTTGGTTTTTGTGTGGTATTTCCTTTCAGTAAAGCAAGTAAGCGAGTTTTTTGCTGTATAGGCATTTTTGAAATTTTAAAAAGAGCCTGACTCCAGATATGTATTTATCAGCTATTAATGTCTCTTTCCATGAAATGATCTTTTGATGGTTTACAGCTGAAAAGGTAGGCAGGCTAAATGGCTGCTGCCTTTCCAGCTTCAGAAGACTGGCAGCAGAGGGATCCCTAAGGGGAATGCTCTGAAGAGGCCATTCCTGCAGCAGCTGCAGGTCTGTGCTGGGAACTGCCAGGGAGGCAGTGGCTTCCCTAAGTAAGGAGGAGTCTGGCTGAATTTGGATTTATGCTCTCTGTTTGTGACCTCAGCAATGCTAGAGCAAAGGAGCCTTTTTCTCCTAAAATAGGGAAGGTGCTGGGCTAAGATTGGAGTTTGCGAGCTTTTCTCATTTCACCTCCCTGTATCGATGTCCCTGTTCTGTCGGAGCTAATTATACAGTTTTACAGATCAATTCCCTTCTGGATTAACAGACTTCTGCTAGTGTAATTATTATGCTGCCTGAGAGGAGATGCTCAAGTCAGCATAGCTGTGTACAAAGGTTTGGGGTGCAGACTCTACTGCTGACATGTCCATGTAGCAGTGACAAGGTAGTTGCACATCATTACTGAATAGGTTTTTTTGTTCATTCCTTCTTTCTTCTCCCTTAAAAACAACAAAAACCTTACCAGTGCCAGAAGAAATAAGTAAATTGTAAAGACCAAACAAGAGAAGACATGCACAAGAGGGACTCAGTTCATGGAGTCACTCTGACTCATGTTATTTAATTGATGTAGGTATTCTTCCAGATTTTTGAAAAAAAAATAATTGGGGAGAGAGAGAGATAGACAGGCCTCTCTGGTAGGGTGGTGACTGCTGAAGTGGAGAACTTGTCTTGATTGCTTGTTATTTATAGTGAGTTTTTCCATTTGCTATGTGGCAGTTTAGAAATGCGGACTCTGGTGTGCAGAAGCAATTGAAGAGAAGTTGCTGGGAGCTTCAAATACTCAGCATTGAGGCCAGCAGGCTTGAGCACAGAATTCAGTAAATTACAGTGCTGGCTTTGATCCAGGCAAATCTGGTTTTGTTTTCCTTGTTCCCTTTTGTTTATCTTTATTGAGGTGCATTTTTTACAGGAGGTATGATTTGTGTTCTTTAATGTTCACTATGCTTGGGATATTCTGGATGTGGTCCATTGTTATTCTCTTTATAATGCAGATATTGAGCAATAAACAGAGCAGAGACCGTTAATTGAATAAGTGATACTCAACTGCATCAGTTCCGTGGCAGATCTGACACACACTGAATGAACAAGATTATTTTGGAAAAAAACAGCAGTTGTGTAAATAGAGGCTGTCACACTATGTATAGACAGCACATAGGATGATGTACACCATCTTAATGCTGGAAATTTTTTTCCATGTTGAGACCTTAAATTACATTTGAAGTATGTTTTGAAATAGGAGTTATTTCTTCAAGTTCCTGTTATACAACAGCATGTTCTGTTCTGTGGGTACTCTCCATACCTTTTGTAATCTAGGCATAAACAAGAAAAGTCTTGGCGGCGTATTTATTGTAGACCGTTCCCAGTCTGCCTTATGTTGCAGAATTTGGGGGGGGGGGGGGGGGGGGGGAGGGGGGGTGGGAGTGGGAATATTTTGCTTTATTTTAGGCAGGTGGCTTGTGTGGCTGTGTATGATGGGAAGATTAGCTTGATTTTTGTAGGGTGAAACTAAAAAGTGGTAGCAGCTGATAGTGGTCCTGAACAAAGGAGAGGAGGGAATTGGAATCGCTGTGCATTTTATGCAGTTAGTTCTGTTCGTTGAGAACGATGAGATAAATACACGATTATTGGCTAAGCCAGAAGACAGTAAGAGATTACTTATGTACCTGTTGGAGACAAATACATTGTCTGGATGCTGTCTGAGGAATTTGATTTTGTGCCCGTTTTTCAATACCATCTGCTTGCATGCGATGGGGAGTTGCTGTCTAACACAAAGCAGTGCTCTAGATGAGATACCTAGTTAAGATGTTTCTAAACTCTTCTGTACATTGTCTTATTCTTCCTGAACATTGAAGGAGAAGATAACTTTCTTGCGCCTTCTTTTTATTTGAGGTATTGGAACAAATATTTCTCTGCATCCTTGTGTGACTTGCTGCTTTTCTAATATTTGTTTTCAGTGTTTCTAGTAGTGAAATATTTTTTTATAACACTTGTATGTTGGTGTGCAGGTGATACTTAGGTATTTAGAGGAGCATTTGCTTTTGGTAGCTTATTCTGTTAATCTGCATTTGAATTTGAGCGATAATATCTAACTGCAGTTTTTAAAAAAGGTCCATCTAGTGCTGTGTGACTGGCTTGTTTGTCGCTTGATGGAGCAGCCCTTATGGTTTCCTGTCGCTACAGTCACTGGATAGAGGATTAGTACAGCAGCAATAAATCCAGTTCTGCTTTGGAGCTTCTGTTGCAGTCAGATACAGAGCACAAGAAAACGAGCGAGTAGTTAAAAGCTGTATAGGAGAGTCTGTAGCATTCCTATAAAGAAGGGAATTCTGTAATTTTCGTGACTGAGTCATTATGTAGGATGCAGTTCCTGCTAAAGAAGTCAGGGCTGTCTAACCAGGGCCTTCGGATCAGCACTGAGGTTAATTGTTTTATACAAGCAGCAACACAGCCTTCTTATCCAGTAGGTCTTGGAATATAATCGGTCTCAGGGAAAAGGTTTATTTTTAAGTTGTCAAAGCTTATGGGTTAAATTGTAGTAATTGGTTTTTATTTGGACATGGAGGAGATTTGCAGCCTT